GGGTTAACTGTGATAAAAGTTTAACGAGTTTTTTAAGGAATACCCGTTGGTTTCATATCGATTGGTAGCTCGGCTGCAAAATGGCAATGCATAACTCACACTGTTGTACAAAGTACAACGCGCGAGTACTCGTGTTACAAAAGTTGGCGCGAGTAACGGAGGGTTAAGAAAAAAAAATAGATTCTTCAGATCGATCATAAAGCTTAGCCAAGATTTTTGATTCTCATGATTTTTGCATTCTAAATATTTTCTCATTGCTAAATTAACTAAAATAAAGTTATATCCAAGGAAATATAGATTGAAAATCGAAGATTGTAAAAAACAAGCAAACTAATTGTAACATGGCGGTGGCATAAAATGTGATTTTCATGGGTCATTTTTGAAAAAAATGTTTTGCTTTCAAGAATTCCTTAACAAATAAATAAGGGTTTAAAATGGCTTTCTGAAGAAAACTTGCAGGCTGAATTGTATTAATCTAAAGCCATTTTGCTTGATCCTAACCCGTTCAGATTTATAGCAGCATTTATTGCGGCAATGTTGCCTACAAAATGTTAAACGTAAAAGTTTGTTTATCTAGCGGCGCCGGTGGTGTAGAGGTAAGCGTGATTATCTCTCACCCCAGCAGGCCTGGGTTCAATCCCTGTCGGCACCGCCGGGATGTTCTGAGGCATAACATCTCTGATCACGCCTTCCGGAAGTAAAGCCGTTGGTCCCCGGTTCATGAGTTTATGGGTCGATAGGTAGGGTCCAGGTGTGGGAGCTGCCTTCCTGGCACGTCGGTAGCATTGGTGCTCAGCACGGAAAACAAGAACCAAAGGAAAAAAAAAATAAAAAAGTTTGTTTATCTTTCGATAGTTGCGCTGTGTGATTCAGCGTTCTTCCAGGTGATTCTCTCCCGATGGCTTGGAAGCAGTTATTCAGAAGGTGTTCACAACATTTCGCATTTCGCAGAGCTGTAACCTCGATAATTCCCGAAAAGATCCCCTTCTTCCGAATGGTACTGGAAGTGCACTATCAAACGGTGCAGGAATGTCCGGTTGAATGATTTTTTTTCAAGTGATGACCCTTTCGCCGAATAAAATCGCAGCTATGGATCGGAAACCAACTAGTGTCCGCTAACTGACAGTTTCAGTGGTTTGCTGTCGGTACTGACACAAGTTATTCCGAACTTCATCGATTCGCAAGGTCTGGAGAAGGCTGGTCTGTTTTCAGACTGTTTTGACAATGTTTTATGAATTTGAGGACCACGCTCACTTCCCTCTTCTCCACCAGATGCTAAGTCGTTGATGGTACCCGTTCCGCCGGACGTGCTGGTTCTTCTAAAGAACTAAATCGACTTCCCTTCGGTCGTTAGCATCGCTTGAATTTTTCCTCCAACTTCGTTTATCCTTCGAGATATCCTTGTCATAAATTTGGTTTTTATTCACTGTGAGGATCCATCCTTGAAATTCAATTTGTAAACAGAGGAGAATTTATGATACACTTTTAAAATCCTAAAAGGCAACAATATATGCCTTTTGCCCTCATTTAAAACCTAATGGTTTTATGATTGCTTTTAAAATGATAGAGTATTTCATCAAGACATTAATAAAAAAAATTGCTAATGAAGTTTATGATTGATTTATAGAACAGTTTTATGGTGGGATTGAGAACTACTTTAAATTTAATTTTAAAACAAGACAGTTTTTGACTTCTAGCCAGACTGTAAAAGGTTTTTAAAACAGCGAAAAAGTGAACTACTAAGCTGGAACGTTTTACACTGTGAAATGCTGTATTTAAACTAAATGGATTATTCATTGCCATTATAAAACCATCATAAATCAGAGTGGATGCCAAATGATTGCAGAATTGTTACTTGGGTAACTTCCCTTATGTTCCCTCAGTTTGTTTATGGAGCTTCACCGAAATTCTCAGCATTTCCTTTTATTCCTCATAACTTCTTCAAAGTGCCTAAAATTGTTGTGAAGTTAATGGGACTGCAGCGAAGGTCTCTAATCTTTCATAAAGTTAATTACGAACTTGAAATAAATCATTTATTTGTTTTCCTTAATTCAGGCACTTTGAAAGTTTTCAATATCTGAAACTTGTACTTGGAATAGGAAACTTCAAACCATTTAATATTTTTAAATCTTGGACTTACTCAAATTAAGTGCGTTTTTTTTTTACTATTTTAAGTGAGAAATTAAGCAAGTGCTTAACTTCAACATTCAATGGATTTGATTGTAAAGCTGTTCATATAAAACTGATTGCCATGTCTTAACAACGCTTGAGTTAATTACTGTTGTTTTTGAAAGCATATTTTGAACGCATTTAAAAATAGCTTTCTTATCCATTAAAGTTCCGGAAAAACTAAGGAAATTTTATTTAAAAAAATGAGTACATTGATAGAGAAAAACGATTAAACGTCACAAAGCACAGAATGAGAAATATTGAAATAAATTCACGCTAAAAAAGTTGAAAATAGTGACTGATTACAAGAAAACAGTGACTTTAGTGACTAAGCCCTCAAAAAGGAGACTTTTTAGTGACTGGCTTGAAAAAAGTGACAAAGTCACTAAAAAGTGACTCGCTACCAGCCCTGACATTGTGAACTTAGTTGAAGTCCACTTTTCGAAAAATATAAGGTACAACATTTATAAATAATTCAAATTGTTTATGCATATAATTGGTAGGGACGTTGCGATACTTAAATGTATCGATACTTGATTCGATACTAGTATCGAATAACTGATACTGATATTTGCGATACTATCGAAACAAAGTATCGATACTGTTAAGTATCGAATCATTTGATAAAAAAGCAATGTGATTGAATTTAAAATGAAAGTCCATGTTTAAGATCAATAACGAAAAGTTTGTATCATTTTATTAAAAACAAAAGCATTTAAACCAACTAATTGAACCATTCAGCCTCATCGACGCTTGCTAGAAATATTAGTTTCTGTAAATATTTTGCTGACAATCGGTTTCTGGTCTCAGTAATTATAGATCCAGCCTTTGAAAAGAGTCGCTCGTATGGAACAGAAGTTGCCATGCTGACCATATGCATCCTAGCCTGCTGATACAGCGCTGGAAAAACTGACTTCATGTCCTCCCATTGTTCCAACGGGTTCACATTTAGTGAGCAAACCGGTCTCGCCAGGTACAATGCCAACTCATCGCCAGGATCAGTATGTACCGATACCACGATAAAAGTATCGATATTGGAGAAGTATCGATTGTAAAGTATCGATACTTAATTACTTGGTATCGAAATAAAAGTATCGATACTTTACTGATATCAGTAGTATCGCAACGTCCCTAATAATTGGCAATGCACCCGTGTACTGAATGGGAATTGTGGGTTCGAATCCTACCGGTGCCCTTAGATTTTTTCGCAAATTTTCACACACACACACGTCTCTTACCGATGATATGTGCTCATCTCTCAGTATGTTCAAACTTCCTCATAAACAAATAAATTTACTGCAAAGTTGCTCTACCTACTCTCTTCAGATCTTTCTCTAGCTGATAAATTATCACACTAAAACTTCATATTAGATAACATTTTCAACCAACTCTGAAAATCCTAAAACTTCACGTATGAAGTTACATAAAAACACTGAATATTAAAACAAGGATTTGCGAATGGTCAATCGACAGGATTGATCCTATTTGCCGATGGAAAGGCGTATGATTCCATGTGGCAAGAAGTAATCATTTACAAATTACATCGCACAATCCTTCCGTAATGCCTGATCAAGATCATCAACCCATTCCTTACTAACAGGACAATCCAGGCTTCAATGCGATGCTCCAACTCCTCAATCCATTTGAATAATCCTGGACATGAAGCTGAAATTCGACAATCACATCAACCACTGATGATCAAGGTGGACAGAGCAGCTAAAACTCTATATTCCCGTAGTAAATCGACCTTCAAGACTTCCTACCAAAAATTAAAGTAGCATTCTTCAAATGTGTCCCTCGCTTTATTCTTATGAATGCACATTCAGTTTGGCAAAACTCCACGAAGCTTCTGAAGATGACCGATAACCTCGATCCGTTCTACCCTACCGACGATCTCCACCGATTGACGAACGTGCATTGATGCAACAATCAATGATTTCGGGTGAATGACCGTAATCCGGTTAAAACGCTTAAGAAAAAATCGAAGATTTCATCAGTTGACACAGTTGGACCGACGAAGAGAACAGACTGAGTACTCAGAAAGCAGTGATTCTCAGAACCGGTTGTATTGTCCGGCGGTTTCTGAATCATCATAACTAATGCAGCCGAAGCAAACAAATTAGGATGTAAGCAACCCAGCGAATAAAATTCACAGAATCTATCCCCCTATCTCTAGATAGACTGATCAGGACCTTATTTATGGATGTGATGATATTTAGGAAGGTGATATACATTACAAAAACCCAAAAGTAAAGATGAATATTTTTTTCTAATGAAAACTACATTTACTTTCCACTTCAATCAACACTGCTAAACACAGGATAAAATGTCACGTTCACTTGCTTTGCCGTTTATAAATAATAAATAGCATTTTTGTTTTATCACAACCAAAATTAAAATCCTCGGTCTAATGCTGCCGATTCACAATCGTTTCCATCAAGTAGATTAACTAACCAAATTTAAAAAAAACAACTTCCTCCAGTGTACTACGGCTGATGCATGTAACCCATGCACATGAAAAAAAAATACTCGCTTTAAAATACTTTCCACGTTTCGGTATTCAATTCCGTCGTAAAACAATATCAGGCTAATCAGATCCTTGCTGGAATGCGGTTACTTTCTTAAAAACGTATCTAACTAAACCTAAAATCTAGTGAAAGATTGTGGAATGGATCCGTTTTCTGATGAAATCCCTTAATCAAACTTTGATGCACTTATCCTGCTACATTCGATGACCCTTCTAGTGAGCAATAAAACAGTTGAATACTTCTACTTAGGCCTACAATATACACATCTTTAAAAACTACCTTTAAGGGTACGATGAAGACAAGTATGCTCCTATTTGATAGGTTATTTGTTGTTAAACTACTAACTATAGTATATTCCTCCACTTACAGCTATGCGACATTCTCGTTTAAAAGAAGTTTGGAATGTTAAAAAAAATATCAAATTTTCCTATGTTTGTAGACGGCAAGATTCGCTGTTCATAAGGCACTCATAGGGTGGTCATTATTATTATTATGTGGAATGTTGTAATCGTGATTTGTTTTGCTCAATTGGTTAGTTAGCTGCACTAGTTTCCGTTTTTTGGCAATTCTGAAGATACGTAGGTAATTAGATTTCCTGCAGCGACAGCATCGATCCGTTGTGGGTCTTCTGCTCCTCCAGGATTTTGGTCAGCGTGCGGAACACGTTATCGGGCAGGTGGTCCAACAACATCCGAGGCATCACCTTTAGTTCGGTGAAGTCTTCGGCCGTTGCCCAGCGCATCTCAAACATAGGACCGCCGGTGTTGGTTTTCCTGAGGAATTTCGAGAAGAATTGGTTTTTTTTCATCGCTACAAATGACTAATTTGACGTTCATACTTCTCCAACTCTGTTTTCTTCCGCCGCACAATGTGCAAGATTCTTCCTCCGGTGTACAATCGAGTTTTGGCAAATCGCCGTTTGGAGATTTCACTGGATAGCAATCCTCCCTCCTGGAAATAGAATCAAAATTTAGGATTTCATCGTCACAGAAAAACGACCGAACAAGATTTAGGTTCAACTTACAACAGCTGCAACCGTTTGAATCGGTCGTTCGCCCAGCAGTGGACTTTGGCCGGCTTTCTTGGTGATTTCCGTTACGTCGTGCCACGTGGTTTCTAGATCGCGTGACGGTACGCCAAACAGTGCGTACCCAAAGCCATTCAACATGATACGCCACTGCAATTCAAGAGCGAGAGAAAGAGAGAAAACGGTAAATGCAAGTTAGAAATCCAAGTTGCGTGCAAGTTTTTCTCAGATATTGCGTGGAATGTTGCAAGCTACTGGTACGGGCAGGCTCGTATGCAACTAGAGTGTTTATATAAAGATAGGTATAAGTCCATTTCAGTTAGAGGTGTTTTCAGCAATTGTTTAAAAATCTTTATTAGAATACCAATTTATCATGAATCATAACACACCCATGTAAACTAACTGACCATCTGAAGGAGCATACTTCCTCTACCAGATGCTGCTGTTTGTTTGCCTGTATGAGTCTTAGTCTGCGAGAAATCGACGTTTAAAGTAATTGTTTCACATATCCGTCTAGTTATGTACATAACATTAGTATTTATCTAAAATACAACCTCGTGTTCCTTGCCCTTAGTTCACGTTCCACCTGATTGTCCAATTGGTAGATCCCCCTAACCTCGAGCAACCGCAAGTAGTCGGCCCCCTAACTTCCCGCATAAACTCGAACCATAACTAAACCTTACCGAAAATGTTTAAACACTATATATAATCTCTGATAAACTTTAAATGAAGTGGTTATGGAACTTTTCATGAACGTTAGTGTGATAAAGTTTTAACCTTATGTATTATGGTTTTTTGGAAGTGAACCTTACAAATAATGGGTTGTTAAGAACCATTCCCAAGTAACAATCCAGTAACCATTTAGCATCCACTCTGATTTATGATGGTTTTATAACGGCAATGAACAATCCAATCAGTTTAAATATAGCATTTTAAAGTGTAAAACATTCCTGCTTAGTAATTCAGCTTTTTGCTGTTTTAAAAATCTTTTATAGTCTGGCAAGAAAGTCAAAAACTGTCTTGTTTTTAAAATAAATTTAAAACAGTTATCAATCCCTCCTTAAAACTGTTCTGCAATTCAAGCATAAACGTCATTAGCAATTGTTTATTAATGTCTTGATAAAATACTTTATAAACGTGTTCTATCATTATAAAAGCAACCATAAAACCGTTAGGGTTTTGCATAAGAGCAAAAAGCATTTATTGTTGCTTTTTAGGCTTTTTAAAGTGCATCATTAACTCCCCGATTACTCTGTTTACAAATTGAGCTTAAAAAATGGTTTCTCATAGTTAATAAATACCAAATTTATGACAAGGAAATCTCAAAGGATAGACGAAGTAGGATGAAAAATTCAAGTCGATTTCAGAAAAATTTCTTCTTTAGAAGAACCAGCACACCATCAACGACTGACCATCTGGCGGAGAAGAGTAAAGTGAGCGCGGCCCTCGAATTCATAAAACATTGTCGAAAGTTTTAAAACAAACCAGCCTTCTCCAGATCTTGCGAATAGGTGACAATCGAAATAACAACCAACAGCAAACCACTGAACTGTTAGTTAGCGGAGATGAGCTGGTTTCCGGTCCATAGCAGCGATTTTATTCGGCGAAATAATCAACTCTTCGAAAATTTCATTCAAGCGTACATCCCTGCATCGTTGGATGGTACACTTCTGTAACCATCCGGAAGAAGGGGATCTTTTTCGGGAACGATTGCGCTTCCAGCTGTTCGAAATGGGAAATGTTGTAAAACAGTATCGCAAACTATCTGAGTAACTGCTCCCAATCCATCGGGAGAAAACCGCCTGGAAGAATCCTGGATCTCACAGCGCAACTATCGAAAGATGAACAAACTTTGACGTTTAACTTTTTGCAGGCAACTTTGCCTCCATAAATGCTGCTATAAATCTGAACGGGTTAGGATCAAGCAAAATGGCTTTAGATTAATACAATTCAGCCTGCAAGTTTTCTTCGTAAAAGCCATTTTAAACCCTTATTTATTTGTTAAGGAATTCTTGAGAGCAAAACAACTTTTTCACAAATGACCTATGAAAATCAACTTTTATGCCACCGCCATGTTACAATTAGTTTGCTTGTTTTTACAATCTTCGATTTTTAATCAATATTTCCTTAGATATAACTATATTTTGGTAAATTTAGCAATGAGCAAACATTTAAATGCGAAAATAATTATAAAAAGTCTCGGCCAAGCTCGATCTGAAGAATATATTTTTTTTTTTTTTTCAATTTTAAATAATTAGTCATATCGACATTTTACGAGGGTGGACTTAAGTTTTTCGATGTTTTCACGTACATTTCACATAAAATTTAATATGACACTTAAAACTAGGCCACTTAATGAAAACTATTGCAATAAATTTGGATATTCAACAAGATTTTTATACCATCAGTTCTATTAAAATTATTTTGATAAGATCGGATTCATAAATCCTTTGCTATCTTGATTGATGCTTTCCTAGTGGAGTCAGCATGCAGCTAGGGGAAATGGCTCGGAAAGGGTTTTTATTGTTGCTAAATAGCTTTTATTGTAGCTTTCAAATGGTTCTCAATGCGTTCGTCATACAACCTTTTGCAGTCAATCAATCTTAAAGAGCTTCGAGAATCCACCCTTCATAACCTTCCACAGGGTGGGCCAACTAGACATATTCTAGTCTTAATGAGGTTTTGGTGGATGCATTAATGACAAAATAGCCTTGACCAGGGTTTTATGAATTTTGTTTTATAGTTGCTTTGTAGTATTTCATAAAACTTAAAATGTTACTTGGGTTAACATTCAAAATTCTTGATCCATACATTTTCGAAAAGAAAACTATATTAGAACCTTTTAACGTATGGTTTGAGAATTTTAATGGTAATGGTTATGGTAGTCAGTATGGTCCATTGATGGTTTTGTATTGTCGGTCAACTTTACGTAATATATCGCGAATTGGTCATCATTAATTTACAGGCAACCTATTCGCGATATATTCCACATAAAGGTGATCGATGTTACAAAACCATCAATGGAACTTACTGTCTACAATAACCATTATTATTAAAGTTCTCAAATCATAAATAAAAAGGTTTTAATATAATTCCTTTTCCGAAAATTCCAAACAAGAATTTGGAATGGTAATGGTTCTTAAAAACCCATTATTTGTAAGGTTCACTTACAAAAAAAACCATAAGGTTAAAACTTTATCACACAAACGTTCATGTAAAGTTCGATAACCATTTCAGTTAAAGTTTAGCAGGGATTATAAACAATGTTCAACCATTTTTGGTTAGGTTAAGCAATGGTTCGCATTTATGCGTGTTTACTGCTATTATAAACATAAGTGCCTCATGGTCGATTGCATTGAACATTGGACAATTATGCGTAAATCGGTAGGTTAGTTTTGAGAAATTTCGTTAAACAATAATTGAAATTCGGGTCCAGAGTAGACTTACCCCTTATACGTTCCCATTATTATGTGCTCCAATTATGGTATATGGCTCATTCCAACTCAAGATGGTACAGAATTTAAAAAAAAGTTGTGATTGATGTCCCCAATTTGAGCCAATCTTGGCCAAAACGCTTATTTTGGCATTTTTAAAAAATGCCTTTTTTGATTTTGCTCTAAAGTGCCTCGATCTCTCTCGGCTAAAACCCAGGATTTTCGAGGTTTTTAAAAATTTCAACTTTCAGAAGAGATTACTCCACAACCAAATAAGCTATTCGTGATCTTAGAACGTCAATTTGAAGGTTTTTTAATGTAGATTCATATAGATGTACCCACATTTTGTTTTTGTCGTAGTAACTACAGTAAACTGGGTGGGTACCTACAGGTATCAAAATTGTCAAAAAATGGCCTATTTTCACCATGGGCGGGATTTTTTTATTACCTAATATTTTGATCTCAAATTTTCACCACACTTTCGAAAACTCTTCTACTTGATGTGTTTCCAAGGGTAAATGATTTGGACAAACAGTTTTTGAGACACAGCGTTTGGCTGTATCCCATATAGGAACGTATTTTTCACTTTTAGTACCACAATTAAATTATGGCCAGAAGTAAATAAATGGGCTAGTTATGATTTCATATAATGAGAATCCTGCCCAGCACATGTGGAAAATAACATAAAAATATTATTGTGCCATCGGCGTGAAGGAATTCAAGAAAAAATAAAAAAATAAATTATATAGCTTTGATTTTTCACCAGAAAAGCTCAAAACTATTACTCACTCATCTGGTCATATCTCAAAAACTATTTGTCCAAATCATTTGCCCTTGGAAAAACATCAAGTAGAAGAGTTTTTAAAAGTGTGGTGAAAATTTGAGCCCAAAATATTAAGAAATAAAAAATGCCGCCCATGGTGAATATAGGCCATTTTTTGACAATTTGGGTACCTGCCGGTAATCAGCCCTTTTTCTGTACTTACTATAACAAAAGCAAAATGTTTGTACATCTAATACATTAAAAACCTTGAAATTGACGTTCTAAGATCACGAATAGCTTATTTGGATGTAGATTATTCTCTTCTGAAAGTTGAATTTTTTAAAAATCATGAAAATCCAGGGTTGCAGCCGAGAGGGATTTAGGCACATCAGAAAAAAAATAAAAAAAAGGCCTTTGTTCAGAATGCCAAAATAAGCGTTTTGGCCAAGTTTGGCTCAAATAGGAGACATCGACCACAGGTAGTGTACCCACTTGAGCTGGAATGACCCATATGAAAATTCCATACGCCAAAATTGGAACACAGCAGTGACTTAACTAGTATCTGAATGTAGCTAAAGCACTTATGCGTGGCAAGGTTTCATCTCAAGAAAGTTTTAGAGATGAACTAGCCAACGACTAAAAATCTCTCTAATAAAGTCAAAAAAAAATCATCTCAAGAAAAACTGGTATCGTTGTTTTTTTTTAAATTTTTTTTTTTTTTTTTTTTTTTTGATACAAAAGATATAAGAAATTGATTTGGTATAGATTTTGATTATTTAATTTGTTTTATGGTGGTGTTAGTTTGTGTGGGAGTAGTAATGGAAATCTTCATGAAATACAGTCATATGTTCTATGTAGTTACGCCAATGAACACCCCATAATATGAACGTATAGCCATGACTGGTATATCAAGTCTGCTGCAATTGAGACTTGAAAAATAAGCATATCAAAAATATTATGGAGCCTACTTTTCCACCTAATCACTTACCTTCGGCAGCTTACAGGCCCGTATCGTCTCAATGACACTGGTCCTCAGATTCTCTATCGAGTCCACACCCAGTCGCATCACAAAGTCATCTCCAACTCCGATGGTGAACGCGTAGCTCTCGGTGTACCGTGCCGCCTCCCGGCTCAACAAACCGGCCGGAGTCGCAAAAGCATACACCCGTAGATCCGGAAAACGGCTCCTGAGTTTCGCTGCCAGCAGAATAGAAACCCCGGCACCCAAACTGTGCCCCGTCAGAACCAACGTATACTCCGGGTAGGTATTGAAGATTCGCTCCAGCATGTTGCCCTCGCGGAGTCGTTTCACCATACAATCCACACCGGCCACCATGCCCCGATGGGCGGACGAATCCTGCGGCATTCCTGGGGCATCGAAACGCTCCGCATTGGCCACCAGATCCGTGAAAACATCCCGCATCGATAGACTGCCTCGAATGGAAATGACAATGCTCTTTGTGCTGTGGTCCGCCAGAATGCAGAATGGTAACTGTTTGGATGAATGAGGAAAGCTTTATTACTTTGAAAGAACGCGCCCAATTAGGGGAAGAATTTATTCATTAACTCTAGCTGGTGTTTTCAACCTATAAAAACCACCTGCTCGAGCGCTATTGAAGCAGAACAGTAAACATGATGCGAGTTGCAGTAATCATTCTAGCCTTCTACACAATTTTCTGCTACAGCTACAGTAAGTATAATTTTCGAAAAATCAACTAGACTAGACAACAAAAACTTCAATCTCAAAATTCCAGATTATGCTGTGGCCACCCTGAGTCACAAGCAAACATCAACCAGCATCAAGCTGGACCTGTTCAACAAGGCACCGATTTTCCAGCACAATACCTGCGCCTGTAGTGCGGAAGCGCAGTTGGTTGGAAATGGGAACCCGACAAAAGAATCTACCATTCCATCGAACGTATGTCACTGCCGAACGTGTGTAGCACGGGACTCCGACGAACGTGGAAATCCACATCTCCATTGCGAAGAAAGTACCATGACGGAGGAAGAGTTCCGATCGCTCCAGGCCCAGAACATGGCCACCGAAGTTCCATCCTTGGATGGGAACCATCAATCGAAGCGAAAGAAGCGATCGCCATTATCGTGGGATGAACTGATGCAGAAGATTGCTCTAATGGGAAGCCACGACAGTACGTACACCAAACGGACCCAGGGATACTTCCACTTTAATTATGTCAACAGCAGTACAGGTACTCCCATTAAGTTCGCAACCAATTCCAATATTACTAATGCTAATTCTACTACTCCTGATGACACAGTGTCTACTACAACACAGGCCGGTAGATGATAATTCCGTTCTGAATAGCCCCAAGTTGAACGAACGGTGAAGGCAGCATGTTAAAAGCTCAAAAGTGTAATAAACATGTCGTATGAAAGCATAAAAATGATAAGATTTTTTATTGTTGAAAATAAAATGTCATTTTGCTCAAATGGTTTTTCAAGTTGCCTGAATTTAAGTATCTTTAAAATGGTTCGTAAATTGGCTTTTGTATAAGTATTTTTCGTGATTGCTGAAGCGCACAAACAGCATGGAGTAGAATGATATGCGAAGGTCTAATGCAGACTGGCGTGAAGCATCGAGATAGCGCTTTCCAATGTTCTACTCATTCAAAATATTTCGCAGATAAGCTCGGGGAACTTATTAGACTTTCGCAGCCAATGAAGGCTATCGCAACTGATTGAATTAAATATTAGGATTCTGTCCTGCAACTCTGCGTACCCTCCACCAAGACTCAGTAGAACCATTTTAAAAGCCTCGTATAGTTCCAATAAAGGTAATGAGCCTGTGTGGTCTGAAGTCTTCCGGGATAACTGGGCTGATAAAATGAATAGTTTTGGTCCGTTTACCATACATTTTCCCGCACAAACGCACGAATCCAGATCATAAGCAAATTCATTCAAATTTAGCACAGTTATTGAGCCCTCAGTTCAGAACGAAAAACAGTGGGGAGCAGAAGGTTTTAAAGTTGAACCACCCTACAACACACTTTTTGATGGAAGCTGCTCTTTTAATGGTCTTTAACAAGTTTAAAGATGTGGTTTTAGCCTATTTTATTTCGATTATATGTTCACAGTACGCAGCACATTTAAGGAAAATAACATTATTTTGGCATTGTGCAAATTAATTTCCAAAAAATGCCTATCGTAATTGACTTATCTAAAGATTGCCAAATTGCTTAAATAGCCTTACATTCAAGACGTTAATTCGAACGGAACCAATCCAAATGCAAACCGAAACGAAGCCAGTGTCTCACCCAATGACTTTAACCCGTCCGTACCCTTCAAAACACAATGCATACCTAGATAGGTTTGCCCCGAGAACGACACAATGCAGAACGATATGCAACCATAAACAAAAACTAGTTTCTACACCCCAACCGGAATAGTGCCGTTCTTTATCAGCTCGAAAAAGACACAAAACTTGAGCCCGGCTGATTTATGCTTCCTACTTTGAACTATAAAAACCAAACCACTCGGTAAAGCACTACTGCAGAGTCCACCCAAAAGGCGCCACCGGTTAAAGTCTGTGAAGAACGCGGAACAATTTGTCACGATGAGAAAAGCTACCCTTACCCTGTTGGTGATCGTTCTATTTGCTGCCGTTGTACGTTGTGAGGAAGATCCTGAGGAAGTCTACGGGCAGTTGCAGGTTTATCCTCCGGGAAGTGACCGATTTAATGGTGATTTTGGGTTCATTTTTTGATTAAGGTGGAGTTCATAAAATAAGGTTCGAATTTTAGATGACCCAAATGCGGGACTTTCCCCAAACGATGTCGAAGAGGGCACCTGGAGTGATTACATGAAAGGAAAGAATTCCAAATTCCTGGGTGTTGCCCGTAGTTCAGAAAATTTAGATGACCAGTGAATACCGTCAAACTTAAATTAAGCTTCATGTTTCTGTGCATACTTTAGTGTAATGAAATAATAAAGGCACTTTACAAACAGACTCACCTCAAAAACGTGATTTTTGAATGATGCATGTAGAACATCTTCACTACGAATCCGAGACGTATACCGGACGCCAGACACGTGGCACAAGCAGCAGTTGTCATCGATGATGATTTGAGGTTTTCGCCTGAAAAGGAAATGCCAAGCCATCAATTACCTACAACTTCTACAGCCATTGACGAACGTGATTGAACTTACCGGAAGCAGGCGCAACATGTCATCTTCGGAATCAATCGATACGGTCCGGTACAGCAGTGCATGTAGCACACCATTGGCCACCCGTAGGCAGCCAGGGCAAACCTCAAGAAATGCCTCGCATTCTTAATCGTCATCCACGCCGGAGACGTCGCAAACACTCTGGTAATGTCCGTGGAGTACCTCGGTCCATCGTCGTTCAACATGCGAATTCGCCTCATTTCCCTTGTCTCCCTCTTTTGGCGAACTCTCAGCAGAACACATCCGGCCATGATATCCGACGGGACCAGGTCCGTCCCCCGGAACAATGCGCTCAGCAAACTCGCAACTTGCGTGAACGCCTCATGGCCGAATTCGTCCTTCCGTAGGCAACAGAAAGCCCACCGGAAGCGACGGAACCACAGCTTCGAAACCTTCCGGTGGATCGCCGACTCGGTGGGTCCATTGTCGTTGCTATCCCTGCCGTTCTTATACTTGGCCGACCCCAGCGGGTCGAACACTATTGCTAATCCGAAGATAATAAGCGCAAACACTACCCAGTTGAATAGTACGATTGCTGCAAAAAAAAAGATGAGAAATCGAATGGAATTAGTGCACCTAAGCTAATGGTATGGAAGGTCAAGGATTTGAACCAGGCGGTGGAATATGATTAAAATCAGTTGCCATGCGAGGTGAAAGATATAAGTGGCCATGACGCCAGAGCCCGGTTGACATATTTACGGCACTTGGATGTTTTTCCTAGTCGTAAAATGATCAGTTTTCTTTTTTGCTCGTATGCAACAGTCGGTTTACGTAAGTTATTGTGTTGTGATCGTAAAGGCGGTGTTTAATGAGTTTTCTGACACGACAGTTAATTTGTTGAACATGTCACTTGATGATGTACGTTGAATCGCTGCGACAATGACGATCAAATAATGATCTCCGGTTGACTGTCGGTTTCATTAATTCAATATGATGTGCCTCATTTTATCATGGTTGTATACTGCCGCCCTTTGCATGTCAGTCCCATAGTCGTTTTTGTCAAAACTGAGTTTTTCAAAGCAAATGGTAGCTAGTTACCCTTATTTTCATAATACTGGATGAACTCAAAATTTGGAACGACAGTCAAATTGGTTGTCCCATCACCTACGAAGCAATGGTACGAAGCAAACTAAAAACGTGAATTCCTCGGTTTGCTGATTATCGCTATGAGACGGACATGCAAAGAGCAGCAGTATACATATTCTTGAATTCTGACTACTCAGAGGCTTACGAGTTTATAAGTTTTTATCCTTTTCAAATAAATTTTCTAATTATTATTTAAGCTCAATTTCAGTATCCAGCATCTTTTTTTAAATTCAGAATTGAGTATTTGGCAAGAATAGATGCCCAAGGGAATCAAGATTTTATTTTAATTATGAATTACCTTCAACATTATGTAATATGTTGGCGTTTATACACCAAATAAGAATTTTCAGGAATTTTTTTTATTAGCAATTCATTGTCTATAGAGCAAATTCTAAGGGTTTTTTTAGTGATGATAATAATAATTGAATTTAAGATCTTTTTGACCTATACAAAAGTCACTTTAGCGTTTATAGTCTTTCTGGCAGTTCTTATGCAATTTAGACTCATTTAATTACATTTTTTTAAAGTATTCAGGCCATTCTGCTGGGTTTAAGGGGATTTCTGCGTTTCAAGATTATTTAGCTAATTTACGAGTTATTTTGGTGTTTACAAGTTGAGTTGGAGTTGCAAGCTGTTTTGGCGATTTTCAAACCCGTGCAACTGTTGAAGTGCATCTAGAGCACTAAGTTGAGAGCAGGCGTTAAGTTACAGTTGGGACGTAATAGCCAGAAAATATAATAGATAACACTAACTAGCGGAGGAATTCCGAATTGTTCTGTCCATCATCCAACACTCCTTGACCCCCTGAGCAACTTTGCCGAAGAAATCATCCGTCTAAATAGTCAGGATCTTGAGATACAGCAGCGCAGACATATTCACTTCGAATGCTCACTAGTGCCACCTAGCGGAGGAATTCTGAATTTTTCTGTCCATCATCTAACAGTCCTTGACCTCCTGATCAACTTTTGCCGAAGAAATCATCCGTCTAAATAGTCAGGATCTTTTAGCAGCACAAATATATTCACTTTCAATAATCACTAGCGCCACCTAGCGGAAGAATACCGAATTGTTCTGTCCATCATCCAACAGTCCTTGACCTCCTGATCAACTTTGTCCAAGAAATCATCCGTCTAAATAGTCAGGATCTTAAGATACACCAGCACAAATATATTCATTTTCAATAATCACTAGCGCCACCTAGCGGAAGAATACCGAATTGTTCTATCCATCATCCAACAGTCCTTGACCTCCTGATCAACTTTGCCGAAGAAATCATCCGTCGAAATAGTCAGGATCTTGAGATACAGCAGCACAAACATATACACTTTGAATGCTCACTAGCGCCGCCTGGCGGAAGAATTCCGAATTGTTCTGTCCATCATTCAACATTCCTTGATCTCCTGATCAACTTTGCCGACTAAATCATTCTTCTAAATAGTCAGGATCTTGAGATACAGCATTCAAATCATGCAAAATAGGAGATTTTAGAGCAAAACTGTGAAAAACCCCAACTTACCCTATCATGCCCAAGATGAAACCCACTTCAATCGATTCCTGAGACTTTTTTCTATAAGAATTGCTATTTTTTAGTCTTTTGTTCTAGCGAGCACCGAAGTTATTGAATTTTAACACATTGTTTCGATTTTGTCCCCAGTGTGCCGTGGTAGCAGCGGATTTATATCATTTTTATCGTGCCATTTTGACAAATTCTAGTTTTTTAAAGCCATTTCACTTTGGCGTTGCCAATGCTATTTTGGCAGTTTTTCGGCCACTTTTAAAAAGTTTTAGTATAATTTTAGTGTTCCTAAATTTAAATCGAAGTGTGCCGTGGCCGCTACTTGACGCGTTTGTTTTCGGTCGCTGGAGTTGTTGGTTCTGATTTCGGAGTTGATCGCGAATTGATTCGGCCGGTGAGGAGCTGGCACTTCGTCTTACAGACTGTGCACTGGCGAACTGAAGCCGTTGTGTCGCGAGTGGTTGGTGATGGAAAATGGACGCAGTCCTTTTTTCTCTATTGAGAACTCCCTAGTTGGAGCAGCTAGAGTGTGTTTCAATTTTGATGGTGGTTTACGCTGCTGTGTTAGGAATGAAAGGCGAGAGTAACTACTTTTAACACCGGTTAAGAAAGTAGCGGCAGCATATCTATGGGAACTGTTCGAAATAATCGTGATGTCATAGATTCCTTTGCAACATCGGGTGAGATCTTTCCTTTATGTTTCTCTTAACTTTCATTCCATTATTATATGAAACATTATATGCTGGGTACTGGAGGGTCCACCAGAGCACCCGATTTAAGCAAAATGGATGGGAAGAGTGGAAATGCCAACTCCCTGTATTTAACATTTCATGAAAAGAGGGCGGCCTCTTCTCTCCACTCATTGGGACATCCTCCATGTTGGATAGCCTGTTTTTTGACCGGTTGTATGATCCTATTGTTGGAAGCAGTGTTGGTAAATCAGAAATCAATTGATATTTTTCCGCTTACATGCGCTCGCAATATCACGCGTGATATCGGAACAAAATATCATGCTTGATATTGATTTTACAAGCTCCTTTGATATTGCGAGACTATTCACAACGTGCAAAAATCAAGCTGAGAGTTGACTCGACACAAAAATGATTCCGTTGCACATCGTTTTCTTAGAAAGAGAAAGTATAGTTTGCTATCTCATTTTACTCTTCACCGATGGCAGACACGAAATGACTGCTGCCAGCCGCTATGGAAGTTTCGGTTGTATTCGGGTGTAAACCACAGTTTGTTGAGATTTGCAGCTGCTGAGTTTTGTTAGCTTGATATTCCGAGCTGCGATATCACAGCTTGCAAAATCAACCGCAGTTGTTCGCTTGTTGATTTTTGTCTGCGAAAATCAAGCGTGATCTTGGGCGTTGGTGAGATTTGATTTTTTGATATTTTCCCAACACTGGTTGGAAGGAGATTCTCATTTATCCGTGGATGTACGTGGGTGATGTTTTCCGAGGATTCACCCAAACCGTTTTTGGCCTATCACACAATGGCAAGTTGAGTACAAGTAGAGGTTATTAAATTTGATCAAGTCGAACAGCGAGGATAGTCCACAATCTAATGACAGTTGCTACAGTGAGTGGTGGTTCCATAACATCATATCAAATCATCATTTTTAGTGTTCTTACATTAGTTATTATATCGTATTGGGCGTTTAGGTTGTTCGCGGTCATTTATTGCATTTTGATGCGGTTTTATATCATCTGTTTTTGGCGTAAAATATATACCGTATGCGTGATAATATTTGCACCATTGAGCAATGTCAAAATAACAAAAATTCTCAAAAATTTCGTTTTCGAGTTTTTTTATTTATTCAAAGGGGGGATTTTCCTCAGAGTCTTAAACTATGTTAATCATCGATCGAGATTCCACTTGCTGCAATTACGGCCATCACACTTCCGGAATGCACGGCAGGTTCTAATAATGTAGTCTGGATCCATTTCTCTCCAGGTGCGGGTCAATGTTTGTCTGAGGCTTGCTGTACTCGGGTGGCGTTTAGAACAGGCCTTGGCCTTCATGACGCGCCATATTGAGTAATCCAGCGGATTAAGATCGGGGCTGGATGGCGACCACATATCCTTCGCCCAGAACGGAAGATGTTCCTGCAACCACTTCTGAGTGCGGTTCTAGGTGTGGCACAGAGCCCCATCTTGTTGAAATACAACATTTGGCTTCGGACCGTACTGTTCTTTGATCCACGGAAGAACATACTTACTTAAAATCCCGATGTAGACCTCCGTGTTGACCTTGTCGCCTTCTGGAATGAACACCGGGCCCATTTTTTGCCATCGGAAGCCACCAATCCAAACACCAGAACGCTAGCAGGATGCTCGGTCAAATACACATTCTTGTGCTCGTCGGCCACCTCTTTTACCGGAAGAAAACTAATATACCTGTTGGTTCTGGAATTTGATACGGGATCGACGGTAGACGTCGGTGAACAGGATTACCGGATTTTTTTCGCTTAAGGAAGTTCAAGATTTTCTTGCATTGTTCGACTCGTAGCTCTCGGATGCGGTTGGTAATCATGGGAGTTTTTTTTTTCCGTGCCCTCGACTTCGCCCCGCAATCTTCCTTTACGATCTTCCGTGCCGTAAAGTCACTGATCCCGTGTTCCTTTGCCATTTTCCTTATTGAAGGCACTGGATTCACCCGAATCTTCCTTTTGATAACAGCGATAACCCTCGGAAACCGAGCTGACCTCAGACGGCCTGTGGCCACCTTCGCGGATAGTTGTCCTTTCTTTTCTCGGTCTAAAACCCTTTTGACGGTCCACCGGGACACTCCCACGGCGATTGAAATGTCTTTTTGCGACATTTGCACGTGGGTCAAATCACGAATACGCTGCCACTTCGTCATGGTAAATCATTTTCTTTTATACACAGCCTACTACGGTATGAGCTATAAGTTACGTAAAGGCAAAGAAAACCAAGGCATTGAATGCACAGGTGTAACGGGAACCTTATTTGTACGATGGTGCAAACATTATCACGCATACAGTATATATATATTTTACGATGTTATAATAAAATGATTACAGCTTTCAAACCACTATGCATTTTGAGGGCTTTTTTTGGCATTGCTAAGATTACTTTGGCCCTCTATCTGTCTTCAGTAATTGTGAGTCACAATACTATGGAATATCTTAAAGTGGGTCGCAATCATCAAAAGTATGAGAATTGCTATACTAGATCAACCAGGGCTTGCATGATGTCTTCAGCTATGAGATTCATATAGTCTCTGTACCTAATTTACTATCCATTTCTATATAAACGTAAAACATCTGATGTTTAACCATCGCGAGCAATCTCCCCTAGTTTAGTTTTAAGATATAGGCGACATGAACAACGAAAATATTTACAAGCTCGTCTGCAACAGTGCTGGTCTATGCGAAATTGCAATTTAATGTACCTGAAATAACTTGAAAAGTTGCGTTTACAAATTGATATATAATCGAAGAGCTTTTTGAGTGTGTTGGTTTATTTCCTTTTATATCCGTCATAATTGATTATCGTTTGACAGATACGCGTATTTCGTCTACTACTTGCAGACTTCATCAGTGTCAAGTACTCAACACCCCTTGGCCTGATGAAGTAGTAGTAGTAGACGAAATACGCGTATCTGTCATAAGATAAGCAACTATAACGGAATTAAAAGGAAATAAATCAACACACTCAAAAAGCTCTTCATAAAGTGAATTCGTTTAGCAGTTAGACAACATTAAAATATTGCTATATTATATCGTAAAAAGTATTAAATGATTATTAAAATGGTCTATAAGATATTTAAGGTTTTAAAAATAATCCTTGAGTTCAGGTGAAATGATCCACAGTGACATCCTATTGTAAACACGTCCTTTTTTTTATTCTTCATTTTCAATACAATCCGTTGCACATTAAATTCAAGCTATACCACCATTATTCGAACGTTTTTAATTGATCAAAGATAGCAGATAATGCATTAACCATTTTTTTCAGAAATCATTAATACAAAACTAGTGAAAAAAGTAGCTGATAAAATCGCGTTGCTAAGAACTGGAAGGCACTGTTTAAGATCTACCACGATTGGGAAATGATCTAACCAATCTATAAATAAGGATACATATTCAGTCGTTGGTGATCTAGTGGATCATATGGTCAGAACTCCAGGACGATTTGAAGAACCTATGACATCTTTTATACAAAGAGATTGAATTGTAATTGATGTATATAGACTAGACCTGTTCATTTTAACAGAAATTTTCGAGATGCACCGGGTCAACCGTGATTACTGTTCGTCATGGTAGTTTGAAATTCTATGCAAATTTTCAGCAAAATCGGGGATGCTTTAAAGGTGCTTCAAATTAATTTTATGATTCAAGGTAATTCACAGCTTATAATATTTGTATCTCGAGACTGAAACAACGAAAACTGCTGTAACAACTTTCATAGCAAAGCTTAATGTGTTATCTACCAACTGACCAAAGATTGTGACCAAAGATTGATTATTCAAAGTGATTTAATTGAAGTTTTACTTAGTTTCATGCTCGAAGATATCTTGAAAAGTGAAGAATTTCAAAGTATTTGTTCTACGAACTTTCCACCCATAGTTATAATATAAAAATGTGTAGTCTACGGCATAATGTTTCTTATACTTATTATCTAGAAATTTCGTTCAAACATAGTTTTCGTGTAGATTACATAGATTGAGAGATAAAAATCAGAAAAGAGGCCGTTGTAGCTAAAATTTACAAGACAACAGACCCAATAAAAGTTTCAATTAGATTGACAAAACATAGTTGCATTGCTTTCCAATGACGACCGATGACTGTTTGATCATTGATCTATCATTGATCATTGATAGATGATATTTTTAGAAACATGAATCCTCAGTAGACGTGTTTTTTATCAAAAGCAAGTGTCACTCGAGCCATAACAGCAAGTTATAAAATAACGAACATTTTGTCTAATATAGGCTCCATGTTTTTTGCACAAGATTTTTTTTATATGGATAGAGTAGTTTAGAATGCCTAACGTTGATATGTTGTTTAATGTTTACTAAAGTCCACCGAAAAAGATCTCTTCCTTGATTAGAAGGTTTATATAAAATATTTGACCCGAAATGTTTAAAACGCTAATTATTGGACGCCAAAATAGCACTAAAATGCTAAATTGGAGTAAAAATCCAAAAGAACCTGTAACTCAATCAACTGTTTTTTTTACCAGATGTAAAAATCATCGATAAAAATGCAAAACTGACATTAAATTCGGTTCAAATCCTTAAATGAAATACCTCAAACCGCTAACATAACTTAAAATCTCGCCAAAATGGCCATAACTGATCTTAAAATGATTAAAACCACGTTTCAAAAGCCCAATTCAAATTACCACCAAACGTATAAGCAATAATGAAAATATAAAAATAACCATGAGATCGATTAAAGTGTTCATGTGGCTTCGAGACATCATTCACAAATCACATCAAATCAAATGGGTTTCGAATGGCTGAAAACACCACTCCACAGTGGGGCGACTACTAACAAAACCCGGATAAAATTCTGAAAGGCCTTGTAAAAAGTCACCAACGGTTTTTTTTTTCGACCAAGGCTAAGAATAATTTTATCCTAGGTCTGACAAAGTTACCCCAGCCTACTTTTTCATCCTAGTAGTCTGGGATGCACTGGTATAAGATGTCCAAGCAATTCAAGCGTAACTATTTAATTCGACGTATGGAGACGAACCAGCCCAGGGCTGAAAATCTCCTTAATAAAGATAAAAAAAAATTCGACGTATCTGCTTTTGTAAACAATCACTTCAATCGACAATTTGTCTCAACTGCTAGCTCACACACAGAAACTAACAACACCAGCTTGTAGGGTAAAGATTCCCATACCTGATGATGGTGTTTGTTTGCGTGGGTGAGTTATCAGTTAAGACAAATCGTCAATTGAAGTGATTGTTTACAAAAGCAGATACGTCTATTTTAATTGTTATGCTTGAATTGATTGATTGGTTCAAATACTATTACGTCCTCACCACACCTAGATTTTTTACTTTTACTCCCAAGGAAGACTTTTTGACCTCCCTAACAAGGAAGTTGTCACTCAAATGAAAAAAAATACAAAATACGGATCTAACATTTTGCGATAAGGAACAAAACTAGCAATTTTTACGATATTTTGAGAACCACTATATCGTTTTGCTATGGAATTACTGTATATATAAATAAATATATTTGCTACGTAGTAGAAAAACGCAAACTAGAAAATGTTATTTTTAGTTGGGATGTAGAAGAAGGGTTTTGAGTTGAGATGTTAAAGAGTAATCAATATTCGCTACGTAGTAAAAAACCGCAAACTCCAATTCCTGACTCGTTCCCGGTTTTCCACGTTTTCCCTTAAAGGAAAGTTTACCGCCACGAAAATATTTTTTGTTCGGCACATTTTTATTTTTCTAAAAATATTGGGAAAAATTATCAATAACCAAGATAATCAGCTTTTTTCCGTAGACTATTGAGAAAATTTACATGTAAAAATATGTGTTCTATCTCATAATGAAAAAAAATGGACCCTCAACAAAACCGAGAGGTCGATGACTTGTGGTTTTTTGAGAAAAATGTGATTCTTTATGCATGTCTGCAGTTTTGTTTTTGGAAAAAAATATTCCTGTTTCATTTCACTCTGCAAAACGATAATATTAACAATAAGTCGTGTGCACACTTTTTGCCTGTAGATTTGAAGACATACTTCATATATCCACGTTCATCGTACGGGTTAGGCAAAGAAGTGTGCGTTTGTCTTGCACTATCACATTAATGGACCTTCGCTCATTTTCAACTTCTATTCAATTTTCATACTGCCGTACTCTAACGGAACTATCTACCTACCCTCTTCTAAGACTTTTTTCTAGCTAATAAATTATCACACTAAAGCTTCATGTTAGATAGCATTTCCAACCAACTCCGAACATTGTTTTTGTTTATAATTGATCATTTGCAATTTGATATCCTCTAACATTTTTTATAAAAATAAATACCCCAACAGGGACCAATATCCGATTCCCATAGTCGTAAACAAGACATAAGTTTATAATGTTCAACTTGCGCGCTTCAGCATGCGACATTCCAACCAGCTTCAATCAGAAAAACTTTTCCTCTTTGTGCTTGAAATCCTTTGCGAGCAACAAAAAGAAATCCAACACCCATCAATCGACTTACCTTCGATCACAGTTCGAGAAATTTTGTCTTCACTTTTACACTCGATGGTCCCGCAAAAGGCCCACATCGTGCCGAAAACGTTCAGTCCAGTCTCTGGCAGAATTAACAGTATCCTGAAATTGAAAAAGAAAAAAAAAACGGGAGAATCAACGATGCATTACTTTCTACGAATTTTGAACTCAAGCGCACAACTACTCACTTAACAACCAGAAGGGGCGCCACCCAGCGGCGCTTCTGCACCTCGGTGATGCTACCCTGGGCGCTGCGATTTACTAGCAGTACGAGTAGAACTATATTTACACTAATTAACACTAGGGTCCCTGCTAGGTAGATGCGCACGGCCAGACCGGCCTGTTCATCGCACTCCGCGGTCACGCTCCAGTACGTCGACGTTACGCATGATATCAGTCCGAGCCTGTTGGGAAAGGGAAAAGGGTTGGGTAGAAACAGATCGACGTAGATACCTACATACATACAACGGCGATGGTTAAAAATAAATGCGAAAGCAAATGTTGGAAGCAGACTGGATTTCCCATGGAAAGTTTAAAAATTGGAATAACAGAAACCATTTAAAAGCGTTTTTCTTGGAGGTTTCACAAATACCCACAATTTGAAAAGACGTATTGTCGCTATAAACAGTGCTCATTAGGGTGGGTCAAGTTTGTATCGCGGAACTGCTCCCCACTGCTCTTGCGATCTGTATTGTGATCCCAAACAACTTTGCCAAATTTTAACGGATTTGGTTACGATTTGGAATTGCAGGAGATCTTTAAAGTTTGTATGGGAAAATATAACGGTCTTCGACAAAGTTAATCTGCATAGTTTTCGCAATCTAAGTCTAAGCATTGGTAAAAAAATAAGCAATTTTTTAATGTTTGACAAACAAATAAATAGTTTTGTTCCGTTTCCCATACCGTAGTTCTCCCGTGAATCTAGACCATAACCAAATTTGGCCTGATGCTTGAGAAGAATTCGTCCGTTTTCGAACAAAACAAGCTTCCTGATTTAAAATACGAAATAGAGAAATAGACAAATTTTGTGGTTCCAGGTCCCAAGCTCAGTGAAATTTTACGATCTGGGACTTAACAAAAATTTCATGATCCTTCACTATTCCATACTGAAATTTTACGGGATTCTGGGGACTGGAAAATGTTTAAAATGTGTATGAACTAAAATAGAACATTTTTCATAAATAAAATATTCTTTCTAACACGAGTAGATCTTTTGAGTAATGTTATTGTCATGGTTTTCGGTACTGGTGATTAATGATTAATAAACATGCTTGTGACAATTTTGCATCACCATTTGCTGTGTTCTTTATGAAACTTCAACCCCACTTACAGTTCCGAAATTTCCAAATTATTAAAAATCCTCCAGCTGGAGTGCTAATTAAATTCATATTTCGTGTCACTCATAAGATGTCAGAACGACAGATGACGCCGGCAAACATGATGCACAGAATAAAAACATTAAACAGAATTTACATCACAATGTATTATTCTTACTAGATTTCTCCATCTTACGTTTGTAAGCAGCAGTAGTTATTTCAAATTAAATTATTCTCCATATTATCAACACTCAGAATAGAGTTGGAAAATATTTGTGAAGAAGTATTCAAAACAAAACTTGGCATAAGATTTGGAAAGCTTTGATCCTGATTGGAAAATTTTAAGTTTCTTCCCTTCTATTTATTTATTTATTTATTTATTTATTTTTATTTAATACATCCATCTGACAATAAGTCTTAATGAACCAGAAGCCATAACAAATACTAAATGTATCTGGAGTTAATAATACGTCTCTGGAATTGAGCAGCAGGTTCCCCAAACTCGAACAACTCTTCAACTGTAGAAAACGTGCGAATCATACTCGTAACAGGTTCATGTTGTCCAAAAGAAGAGCGGTGTGAGTCTTGACGCAATAGGAACGTTGAGCGTGGAAATCTGCTTGGCGCACGAAAGTTCAAGCAAGAGAGTAAGTGGGTAGAGTCAATTTCACCACTTAATAGCTTCGCGACGAATGTTGCCTGTTGAATTTGTCGCCGTCGTTGTAACGTGTCCATGCTTAGCAAGCGACATCTCTCAGCATACGGAGGTAAGTTTAGTGGATCTCTCCAAGGAAGTTGTCTTAATGCTCGACGAATGAATGTTTTTTGGATACGTTCTATTCTGATGTTCCAGGAAAGTTGGTAGGGAGTCCAAACAACAGATGCAGTCTCGATAATCGGACGAACGAGTGAACAGTACAGTTCTGTTGGAAAGATATGATTTCAGCCAATCAACCAAACCATCCGAAATTCCCAGGCGAGACATTTTCCGAAGAAGAATACCATGATCGATGCAATCGAATGCCGCTTTCAGATCGGTATAAACGGTATCTACTTGAGCCCTATTTTCCAAGTGATTTATACATGTTGAGGTGAACTCTAGCAAATTTGATGTAACTGAGCGTCCTGGCATAAATCCGTGTTGCGTTGCTGAAATGTAGCTCTTGACATGAAAGAAGATAGCATCGTTCACAATGATCTCGAATAATTTTGAAACTGCAGATAGACTTGTTATGCCACGATAATTTGTCACGTCACGTTTGTCGCCCTTCTTATGGACAGGGAACATAAAGGAATGTCTCCATATTTCGGGGAAAACTCCTTGGTGCAACGAAGCGGTAAAGATGCGAGCTAGGGGATCAGCTAAAACAGCAACACAGCGGCAAAAAATGATTGCAGGTACACCATCAGGACCCGGTGAAACAGATTTCTTCAACTTCCTAACAGCTTTAACGACATACATATTGCTAACCACAAATGTACGCAAATCGATGAGACCCTCAGGAACATTGCAAGCCGCTCTTTCTACTTCATCTGCGTTGGCAGCTGAATCCGAAAAAACAGAACTGAAGTGGCGGGAAAATAGATCACACGATTCGAGCATAGAAGTAGACTCCAAATCGCCAAAAAATACGGATGAAGGAATATTCGACGATTTTCGCTTGGAGTTCACAAACTTCCAGAAGCTCTTGGGATTTCTACGTAAATTGGTCTGGACACGCAAGACATATGACTTGTATAGGGTTGAATTAAGCTTACGATAGGCGTTGCAAGCGCGATGAAAGTTGCGTTTCGTTTCAGAAGTTCGATGTCGGCGAAGTTTACGCTGCCAGGAATTTTTATCGCGTTTCAAAAGCCGCAGGAGAGGAGAACTCCAAGCAGGATATATAGGAGGTTTTCGTCTTGGAGTGTTATCGGTGAGCCAATTGCAAATTATGTTGCAAAATTGTGCTGCCATATCGTTGACGTCATTTTTTGCCAGAATACTGCTCCAATCACAGCTCATCAGGAACTCGTTGAGCATGACGAAGTCGATTTTTGAGTAGTCGAGCGTATGTTCACCAGCATCAAGGGATTCCACACGGTCAACACAATCGGATTGAGTTGGTAAGGAGATTAAAATCGGTGGATGATGCAAATCAATAGCCAGCAATGGGGACACCGTTTCGTTAACTACAATGTTGCAATTGGAATCACAGAAAACCAAATCTAGGATGCGCCCCAGGTGATTGCGAATATTGGTATTGCCGGATATTCAGGAAGCTCGTTCCATCCATCAGAGCAGCACTGGCAGCAGACGTCGTGGAAGGACCAAGGTTTAAGATTCCATCATCAAGACAATCCCATGCTATGTGTGGTTGATTGTAGTCACCACAAGCAAGCAAAAGGTCACCATCTGGAGTTGCATCACGTAATTCACGAAGAGTAGCTAAATGGGCATTATAACATATAATTACATTATTTTAATCCTGCGAAGTTCCTTCGAAATTAATCAGTATTCGGCCAAATGGGGTTCGGCTAAATGGGGTTCGGCCAAATGGCGTTTGGCTAACTTCTGAGTGCGTGCTCTGGCCACTAGATTCTGCTTCATCATCTTGTTCGGTTGCTTGGAGGCATGGAATGAACGGTAACCTGCTCGCAGACGGATACTCCAGACGGTACTACGGCTGGCACCGTATTTTTTGGCGACATCCCAATCCTGGGATCCTGGGCTTCTGTTGATCGACTTCAACACCTTCCAGTTCAGCTGCCGAACATAGTTCCAGAACGTTTGCTTTGAACCTTCCGGGCCACACTCTTGCGATCTCGGAACAGCTTGAGGACATCGGTAGAAACGGTAATTTTCAACTTTTTCGCGATATTTTGGGTTTCGACGAGGGTGGGCAGAATCAATTTTATTTTCTCGTTTTGCGTCTAGTACAACTTCTAAATCCGACCACTAGAGGCACTGCTATAGAATAAAAACTACAAGGGACAGCCCTATGGGGTTGTCCGCAATGATGATGTAGAACTACGTGGTCTTATATAATAAATGGTAATGTGTATCTTTATTGAGCCAGGTATTAATCTGAACCATATTTTAATTATTTTCCTAACCTCATTTTTATATTTTGATCTTCGCTTCTATTTACTATCGTACAGATTTGTCGTACAAGCAGAAGCAATACTTTTGGGCGCGAAATCTGACGAAATATTGCTTGGAGCCAATGCCTTTGATTGTGCTGGATAATTTTAACAGGGACCTCATGAACGAAGGGAACTTGAAGTTCGTCGAGTTCATGAAGAAATATTTGCACCTGGACATGGATCGTGAGTGGAATTAATTTTCGTTCGCAACGTCGGCCTTGACAGTAAAAAGTAAAACTCTTACACGTTAAACCAGTTTTGTCACTTTTCGAGTTCTAGGCTCTTAACTCAGGGCGTTTATCATCGTTGCCAATCTGCACCGTACCGGAGTGTAAGCCAACAACAAAGCCATGCTGTGTTCATCAGAACTCATCAGGGTCACAAAAATTTTCTGGCTATTTGAATTTCTATCTTCTCAATGCAATAAGGCAGTTCTGTGTCAACCATATAAGATCACCATAAATACTTGTTTGTACGGCTACGCTGGACACGGGTTGACCCGGTGTTTGGAAAGGCAGCGCTAGCCTTCATCGCTACGAATAATGGGCACTCAGAGAGCCCAGTTTCTTCAGGATTAGAAGCTTGGTTGTTACCGTTTTGCTGGTTCCAGGAATTTCATTCATGCCAAGATTAGTAGAATTCCCAAACAATCTCTTTTCAAATTAGTTGGTGGCTTCAGGTAACAGCGCCACGAATGACGTTTTCCAAAATCACCTTACCTTAAGCACACTCGGGTTTTAGATCAGACCGGAGATACGCTTGACGGACGGCGGACTTGGTAATATCATGCAACACAACTGGCTCCTCTTTTGCCGAGTCCTTTGCCTCATTTGCCACGTCCAGTCATTGTTTATGCTGTTGATGTTTCTTCGTGTGTGTCACAATTATGCCAAAGGACATTCAGCTGGCTCTTCGTATTTGTGGTGAACGCTCTTAATTTCTCCGTGGAAATCTAACAAAACCGGCCCTTTTCAGAGCCACTAAAAGATTCCACAAGAGAGTTGGGAAGGAAATTTCTGCTGCGTACAACTGATTGCATCACAGTGAATCCTGTTCTAAAAATTGCAACCAGCAAGTGCCCTAGAACCAAAAGCGGTGCGATGCTATGACGATGACCGTAAGTGGCTTAGAAGCAGAAGGGTGAAAGCCAATTCTCTTTATCGATTTCCTCTTTTGTGATGACCATGGCTTCATGTTTCGCACTATTTCTGCTGTGCTCTTCTATCATGCACAACAACAAACGTATCAATGAATGTGTTTGCCGCCGAGTTAACGTTATCTGACCGTGCACTTTGTAGTTGCTCCGCCGTGAATGATCAGAACTAATTCACTTGCACAGAGAACTACATAGATGGTGCATGGGATAAGCATTTCATCTTCAATGTAAAAGCACATTAATTCAATCTATAGATCAATTCACAGTGCCGGCCACGTCCTCACGGTCTTTTGGGGAGGAAAGGATGATTAGTTCGACGTCCGGTTGTTACTAGAGACCGAGAATACCTCTACATCTCCACGGCTGTCTCGGAAAGGATAGAGTTGTGCTAGTGAGGTAGGTTATTTTTAGATCAGGATTCACTGCGGTAAGTGATCCGATCGGTTAAGCAGAATTTGTTTTTATTTAAATTTAGTGGGGATAGAATAAGGCAAAGTGAAAAATTGCAAGGAAGGGGACAGACCTGGGATTGAACTCCCTACCTTCTGCTCAGTAAGCAGAAACGGTAACCACTGAACTACCGAACCTCATCGTAATGCTACATCGACATGTTCCGTCTAGGAATGATTCTCTGATGACTGTGTTGGGGAAGCAGCATATGCATGTACGTAATTGGTGGATTTGTTAGTTAATTCGACGCTTTTGGACAATGCTGAACATTTACCACTTTTTCAATAGTTTCTTGTTGAAAATTAACATGCGGAAGTATTGTGATCGATTCGTAGCCATATTTCTGATCGATTGTTGATAAAATTATTGAAATTGGACCAGGGGCAACTGAGTTATTACCGTTCAAAATCTTTCACAATTTTGTTTCATGTTCCATTTTCGGTTTTCACAAACTATACTATACTATACAGATCGATTTTGGCGAAGGCCGCAAATTGATTCAACTTTTATTTACACAGTTATTAGGCAATTACCTTGACCATTTGCGATCTTCGACAATGTTGTTCTGCAATTCTGAAATTTTTGACAAGTGAATGAACAGTTTCGTGTCATTTCTCATACATTTTCCATACTAACACTGAAATTCTCCCGTAAATCCAGATCATTTCCAAATTTGCTCAAATATTGCATAGTCCTCACATACCTTAATACACATCGAAAGAGCAGTAGGGAGCAGAGGGTTGTCGCCATATAAACTTGACCCACCCTAGTGCATGATTAGAAAAAAAAAAATCATGTAAATTAAGGTGCTCTGAGCATAAATTTTGACAAACATAAAGCGGCGTCGATCGCATATCAGCTCAAAGCTAACCCCATGCCATCCGCACAAATGTTGCATTAATTGTTCTGCATCGTCTGGGACACCGCGACTTTTTCAGCTGACTGAATACGGGGAATCTTAGTGATGATCCCAAAGAAGGCAGACCTGACTGTGTGTGGCAATTGACAAGGCATCATCACGAAAATCGATGCGACTGCCCGTCCACCACACGCAGGATTCCGTACCGAAAGATCAAGTTTGGCCCATAGTGTCACACTGCTTTTAATTTTAAAGTAGGTGAACGAATTCCAAGAGTCCCTGTATTTGGACTACGAAAAAGCTGTGGACCGACTAAATCATGGGAATCAGTTCTGGATAAAATCGTCAACCTCATCGACGTGCAGAGTCCTGCATAATAAAGCTTTTTCCTGTCCTATCCGGATTGTCGCAGGCGTGAGGCACGGATTTACATGTATGAAAACGAAATAAGCTTGAACGATTTAAAACAAATGAATCACTTCTCAGATAAAACAAGCGACGAACCTCATTCTAAAGTGGATGTAATATGATTGGGAAAAAAAATGAATCACACTAATTGAAAAAAAAAAAAGAAATGTAAACTGGTTCGTAGTCAACGGAATTTAAAACTTACATAACAGCAAGGTGTCCCTCAAAAGTAAGTAGAATTCCAGGCAAGGATTCTAATGTTTCCTTTATCTGATTGTGTTGTCGGTTTCCGTGATTAAATTAACCTTTGTATGAAATCAGCGATAGATGTAAAAAGAGCAATCATGAACATAACATTGAAGTAAAACTGCATTTATCAGTTCCGTAGACAGGCATGAAAGAATCTACCTAACCAGTTCCCAATTTTGAACAAAATTTGACATGATATTGTATATCACTAGAATGAGAACATTATTTATGTTTCACTGATACTTCTCCGAAAACATGTAATGCCACCCCATGAGAAAGCAAAATGAGCGGTTCGGGTGAGCGCAATAGTGAAAACGATTAAATCGGATGATATTGTAGCTGAGGGAAAATCCCCCTCTCGTTTAGAGTAAACCACCACCACCATGACCACCAACCGACCAGCCAACGAATTAGTAACAGCCAGTAATTAGCTAGATTGATAATTACCATACGATACGGAACACGATCTCGAACAGGCACGGAAACACAAGGTCGTCTGACGCGGCTAACCATTTCCGGCCAAACAAACGCAACGCTGGCATGACCTGCAATTAGAAAGAACCAGATGATAAGAATGCAATAAATATAGACATCATCGCACCGAGAAGTGAGAGGTGAACGTGGAATTGAAAAAAAAATAATAAAATCAAATGCATCGTTGACGACGAAGGCAACGACGACAACCGACGGACGATGCCGATGGTCAGGTGAGTGAGGTAAGAATCAGTGTAACATTGTATGTAATTGCTTCGTTTGAAGCAGCAGTTTTTCTCGTCTTCAGAATAGATTGGAGCCTCCCAACAATCACGTCCCACCCGAGCAACAACAACAACAACAACATCAACCAACACAGCCAGGCGAGCTGTTCATAACACAGCAAAGTCAGAGAATGACGGGCGCGAAACGTTGTCGACCGATCATTAGCGACCATCACCAGCATGATCATCACCATCATATCACAAATGAAGCCTCGTGCGGCGTCGCGAACCTAAGTGCATCAAAATGTTATGCTTTCGTGCTTTTTTTTATTCGCACTCTCTTCTAGCGACGTTGTGTAACGTCTTCGGTTACGATGTATTACACGAATAACGCAGTTACCTTCTCGGGCATATGAGAGAAGAGTGTTCGAAGAAGGAGTAAGTGGGGTAAGCACACGAAATTTCGATCATTAACGTGGTGTTTGCTCTCAGAGAAGTGTTTGCTTTGACGAAATTGGGAACTCCAGCAGGCATATTGAATCCGCTTAGGAGGCAGATTCAGACTCTATAAATTTGAACGTAAAAAAAAACCGAACATCAGCTGTCCACGAATCGTGGACCGATCAATTTGGCGATACTTTTCTTATATATAGTTGAACAGCAATACATATAACGGTACTGATATTTTGCGCAAGATAATACAAGACATCTTTCGAGCATCTGAATATTTATACAGGTTAGGTTAAGTGTGCTAGTTTATGGCCCTAGGGGTTCTTTAATTGGTGTAAAATTAAAATTTATTTCCAATCTGATTCAAGCCCAAAACTGACACACCAACCTTATAATGGTACAATTACGGGAATGTTGGAAGGGTTTTTTGAGTTGACATCCAAAGAATCATCACTAAGCATTTCATATGGTATCATGGTTAGAACATGAACTTATCTACTAATGACTCTGACAAATATAAAGTTTGGATATATCGCACCATGAGACTCTCCGGGGTCACCCGATTCTGGTTCTGGAGATACGGCTGGAACATGATCGGGTGAGAACGCATTTTGATACAAGAAATGACACATTGAACCACAGGACCACATTGTTCACACCCGGACATGTTGTTACCCTTGAGTAAGTGGTCTGGGTCTTGCATGAGCCAAAGGAAACTTAAAGTCACATAATAATTCAAAACAATCTTTTTCATTTGTGGTCACACAAAATGCCCAAGACCGTAAAGGTAATAATCGTCCAAACTGGTGCAGCAAAGGAGAAGGGGGGAGGTGGATTTATGGATAAAACTCCTCGCTCCGGAGCCTTGAGGCAATAATAAAATAATTGTCTTTTTATGCTAAATGGGAGTCAACTCAGCACTTTTCACACAGTCAACTCTCTTACTCGATCCTTCCCTAACTCAATAATTCCTCTAGCTCGATGAAAATCCAGGATACTTCTTACACTTTTCTCATACAATTTACCTTCTGTAACTCGATATCCTCCCTAACTCGATGGTTCCTTCAATATCAAGTACGGGTAAGTTAACTTTTGATGATGATGGTCCCACCTCTTACCCCTACAAAGGTTTGAGCTGGACGATTTATCCTTAAGATTAGGTATGACATCTTACCCAGATTAGCAACAAAACCAAACTGGTTACAGATTTAACTTCCCTCCCTGCTAATTCAAAGCAGCTTCCAAATGAGCTTCAAAGATTCATTTTTTTTTTTCTTTATCGAATATTAAATGCAGTCCTCCAAAGCCATAATGCACGCACGAGGCTCAAACCTTTGTAGACTACTCAAAATATTGTTTTTGAAACTACTACTATTAAATCAAATATCGAAAATCTATCATCACCATCGTGACGAACAAAATAGTTTTTGTAGTGCTACACTAATTATTAAAAAGTCGTTATGACAGCTGCCCATACAAAATAGTCCGTTAGCGATAACATCGCCAAGATACATAAATTGTCAATTCACACTGGATAACTGTTCAAAATACAGTTTTAATGTGTAAAATGCAGTTTATCAGTTTATTCCATTGAAATACCTATAATGAATTTTGCGAAGCACAGGTAAGAAATGTGGTGTTCTTATTTCATCCGCGTTTCTAGTATTGTATTTATGAAAGTCTACTACTAAAGTTACTACTTTGAATATGAACAACATAGTCAAATATACTATTCTTTGCTTCACCGACAACCACTTCAAAGCATGCAGCATCAATGTTGAGGAACTGAATCTATTACATCTTAAAATCACACGCATTATTTTACTCTGCAAGCGCTGTAATCTCGATATAAGTATTACATTGGCGAAACATAAAATGGAAGGGCAAAAGTCTAGATGAGGAGCAATGATTGATTTGTATAACTATATTTTACTGGTAATAGTTAAAACAAATTCAATCGGCATAGAATTCCATACTTCTTGGCAATTTTCTTGATGACATTGTCAATGTGAGAGTTGAACATAAGTTTGTCATCAATACAGAGGCGTCGCGTGCCTCATTTGTTTACCTGTGCACCAAACTTTGTTCGCTATAGTTTACCACCACATATTAGTTTTTGTTTTATGCTCCATGAATTCGAGGGCATATTCTCAATTACTATATTAATTGTGTAAACAAAAGTTGTATGGCCCTTTCCACGCTAACCGAAGTAGGAGGAATTGCAAAACTTCATGCTGAACATTGCATTACGTCCTCAGTAATATTGATCGATTCTCTTCGTTGACTTTCTATTTCGTTAATAACTTGAGCACATAACCATTTCTTGTTGTGTTTGTCATATTATATGCTAGAAAAAGCTTCTTTTATCGATCTGTGTGCTGAAAATACCTGGATATTTCTTTACATGGCCGTGGAGATACAAAGAGAAAGTCGACGGAGAGAATCTGTCAATGTTAATTAGGACTTAATGCAATGTTCAGCTTGAATTCTTGGGCTACTAAATGGTGAGTCGACAACCTGGAAGGAGCGGAATACCTAGTCCTGGTCCTCACAAATTCCTACTTCACGCCTCCTCGAGTCATATGATAACAAAAGACTACCAGCTGAAACATGGACACAGCTGGTTGGCGTAGCCTGGGCAATGTTGCCAGTCCGGCAATAGCAAAGTGAAGAGGTGCGACGCGAACACTGGCGCGGTAACCATAGTACGGTGATAGAGGAAATGCTTCACCAAACCTGAGCGTCTGCTCACCATGGAGGTGCGGCTCAAAACGGAGATGTTCTCCATGTTAGGAGCGGCTGATCACCGTCCTAGTGCCAGCGTGGGACTCTAAACAGAGCTGTGCACGATGGTCCCCCGGCGAGACAGGGGGTTGGGACAGGCCCAACAAGCCGCCCTGGAAAAAAACAAAGTTGCAAATACCGAAGAAAGAAATACGGATCGGAACAATCGGCACAGACCTACGCGACGAAATAAGGACTACGATTGGAAACTCGGAACATGGAACTGCAAATCGCTCGGCTTCCCGGGTTGCGATAGGTTAATCTATGACGAACTTCAACCACGCAACTTCGAAGTCGTAGCACTGCAGGAACTTTGCTGGACGGGACAAAAGGTATGGAAAAGCGGGCATCGAGCGGCTACTTTCTACCAGAGCTGTGGCACCACCAACGAGCTGGGAACCGGCTTTGTAGTGCTGGGTAAGATGCGCCAACGCGTGATTGGTTGGCAGTCGATCAACGCGAGGATGTGCAAGTTGAGGATTAAGGGCCGTTTCTTCAACTACAGCATCATCAACGTGCACTGCCCACACGAAGGGAGACCCGACGACGAGAAAGAAGCGTTCTATGCGCAGCTGGAGCAGGTGTACGACGGCTGTTCGCAACGGGACGTCAAAATCGTCATCGGCGACATGAACGCTCAGGTAGGACGGGAGGCAATGTATAGACCGGCAATCGGGCCAAACAGCCTGCATGCCGTATCGAACGACAACGGCCAACGATGCGTGAACTTTGCCGGCTCTCGGGGTATGGTAGTTCGAAGTACCTTTTTCCCCCGCAAGGATATCCACAAAGCCACCTGGAGATCACCTGACCAACACACAGAAAACCAAATCGATCACGTTCTAATCGACGGGAAATTCTTCTCCGACATTATCAACGTCCGCACGTACCGCAGTGCGAACATAGATTCGGACCACTACCTAGTTGCAGTATGCATGCGCTCAAAACTCTCGACGGTGCATAACACACGTCGAAGTCGAACGCCACGATCCAACATTGAGCAACTACGGGACACCGGAGTTGCCCAGGACTACGCGCAGCAGCTGGAAGTTGCACTACCCACGGAAAAGCAGCTTGGCGCAGCTTCTCTTGAAGATGGCTGGAGGGACATCCGTTCAGCCATAGGTAGGATTGCTGCAGCGGCACTAGGTACTGCAATCCCGGACCGAAAAAATGACTGGTTTGACGGCGAATGCAAACTGTTAGTAGAGGAGAAGAATGCAGCACGGGCGAGAATGCTGCAACACCGCACGAGATTGAATGTGGAGCGATACAGACAAGCGCGGAACAGACAAAACTCGGTTTTCCGAAGGAAGAAGCGTCAGCAGGAAGATCGAGATCGCGAGGCGATGAAAAATCTGTACCGCGTAAACGACACACGGAAGTTCTACGAGAAGCTAAATAGTTCGCGCAAAGGCTACGTGCCGCAAGCCGATATGTGCAAGGACTAGGACGGTAACCTTCTCACGAACGAGTGTGAGGTGATTGAGAGGTGGAAGCAGTACTATGACGAGCACCTCAACGGTGAAGCAGCAGAAAACGAAGGTGGCACGGCAACAGACCTTGGAGCACGCGCAGAAGACGACAGGCTACCGGCCCCTGATCTTCAAGAA